CCAGTTTAATTAGTTGAGCTATAGAACACCCCCAATTCTCCATTGTATGTCATAATAATAGCTACCATTTAGTTTGGACGCGATTGCGTTAATTAATAAGGTCACACTGTGTCAGTAAATACACGTGTGAGCTAGTAATCTGGTAGTGCTGCAATATTTACCTCTCTCTCGGCAGCTGAAGCAACTCGTTTGGTGGCTCGAACTTCACGTTTGTTGACACTGTCATTGTCTTGCGCGGCCGACGTGCTGGGACGGTCGGTGTTCCCGACTGCATACGTTGAGAAATCGAATATTGTGGGAACAGATCCTGGCTTCAAATCCGATGTTTTGTATTGAACCAAGCATCCAGACTCATCAAACCTCATTTTGTTAGAGGCCTAACTCATGCCTGGCTGTGACGTAAATGGTGTGCGGCCGTGAAGCCAGGACAGTAAACAAACATGTCGTCGGTAGTATGGGACTATTTCAAAGTTTCAGAGTTAGATAGTTCGCTTGCTATTTGTATTAACAAATGCAATGCAGAAGTTCCACGAGGAGGGAAAAAGGCAACGAGCTATAATACTTCCAACCTGATTAGTCACCTGAAACATCGCCATCGCTACGATGGTGTGTTAAAAGCGTACGAAGACGCCTGCGCTGCTAAACTAGCGGCGAATCCAAAGCCAGATGCAAAGGCACCGGGGCTTTTACCTATCGACGAGGCTTTGGAAAAAGGCAAGAACTTTATTTGGGAAAATAAATATGGTCACTTTGAAGAGTCAAAACTGTTCTTGGCTTTGTTTTGTTCATAGTAGTAATGCTCATGTCATTTGCTCACTACTAGTCTTTTTTTTACCACCAGGTGTGCAAAAACTACAGGTACATTTAATATATATATTATATTATTATTATCGGTTATCGGTATCGGTCTTGAGAAGCAGGAAGTTATCGGTATCGGTTTCAAAAAACCAATATCGTGCATCCCTAATTATAATTATTTCACACAATCAGACATGAATCCTTGCTATAACGAAATGTACTTATTTCATTCCAGCACAGAACAGTTGTAGGTACTTGTTTCTCAAATTCACACTAAAAATGCTTCACATCAAGCAATTGATACAGGACTGTACAATCCTGTCATGATGGATGTAAAAGCGATATGGAGAGATAAAAAAGGGTTCTGGCGATAAAAGAGCAACAGCATGAGTGGCAGCAATATCGCTTAGAACAAAGACGCAACGTTCCACCAAACAACAGGCATGTGGTTAATAATTCAGCGGGCATAAGAGTCCGTTTGAGAGAAGGTTTTCTAATATTCATGTGACATGATAGCAAAGACAGGAACTCTGGCTATCACTGGGCAGTGTTATTCATACTGTGAGGCACTATGGTGTTCTGTAATTCATAGCCTTGGTTTTTAGGCCAGGCGAGGACATGTAGAGCAACCCTGAGCTTCTGTAGCATACTCAATAATTTAAATAGACTTGTTCTCAAATGCTAAAGTGATAAAAGTCTAATATAAAAGATAATCCAACTAAAAGTTTGAAATTCTCAAAAAAAAAACTCATGACTGAAACACCAAACTGTCAACCTCCAGCAGGAAGATCCACAGTTATTTAAATGTATTCAATCATAAGGTAAAACTTTCTTTACTTCCTATCCATTGTAAAAGTAATTATTAGGTATCATGCAGAGTGCTAAGATCTATAAAATCACTCTTGTACCTCATTCACACCAACACAACTCCGGTTCAAGCTCCGTGCTAGAGCTTTTCAGGTTCAGAACCGGTTCTTCGGTTTAGCTCCGGCTCTTTTCACACCGCCCAGAGTCCGACTGGTGCTGCGTCATTGCGTCATCGTTTGCGTCATGACGTAACCGTTTGCGTGCCTGCTTCATAAAGCCAAACCGCGCGGAAACCCCTCACAGCTGACACCGACAACAACAACAATGGCCGATTGTGCTCCAGTTTCCTCTGTACCTCTTCGGAAGACCAGATTCCCAGCAGGTAGCTGGTCTCTTCAGTGGACCACTGCTGCTTGTTAAGTTTCTCCATCGTTGTGTACAAACTGGATAAAACGCTGGCTTCTTGTTGTTGTTCAGGAGTTGATCCCGCCCCTGCCCCTGCCTCCGCCTCCGCCTCGACGTAAGCGTGACGTATGCGGTGCTTTTGCTCTAGCCGGACAATTTTTTGGTGCTTGAAACGAACCGGATTCCGGAGCTAAGAGGCTGCTCCGTTGCAGTGTGAACAGGTAAACCCGGTGCTTTTCAAACTTCAGCTCTGAACCGGCCCTGAAACACCGTTGGTGTGAATGAGGTATTGGCCACACGCACACAGGATCCACAAAGAGAAATGCAGCTAAAAAGTAAACTACCAAAATAACCCAATCTGACCCAAGAAGAAAGAAATGATGGTCAATTATGTATTGACCCTATAGCTGCCTGGGAATACCTTCATTTCAAGTCAAAAGCCAGGGGCAAGGTGTTGTCTGCTTCAACGTGTGGCTGGCTGACTTTTCTCTCTTGAAGACTTATCTGTAAAGGCCTGGACACACCAAGCCAATTTTGGCCGTCGGTGGGCGTCAGGCCAACGATGAGCGTTGACACGCCCTACTCGGATTGGTGTGTCCCGCACCGTCGTGTCTTTTCAGCCGTGTCGACGCCTTTTCGGTCGAAAACCCGCCAATTCAACATGCAAAATAAATCACTCTGATTGGCTGTTCAGCTAGCGAATCAGTGCATGAAAAGCTAAACGGAAGTGAGGGACCCAAACAAACTATTAAGAAGGCAAATGTGAGATTTCATTTAACTCCAGCTCTCGACACAGGTTCGGGAAAGCCCCATGAGCTTCTCGTTGTAGAGTGAAAATGGAATGCACACGCTATTGTGCTATTGTTTGTTTATATCACGCAGTCTGTTCTTCTTCTCTCGGTTATCACGCAGTCCGTCTTCCGGTTGTTGCCTCTTTTGAATGACAAATACACACTACTGCCGCCTGCTGGTAAGGAGAGTTATTGCCACTGACGCATGCGCAGTTCGTACGTGCTTCTTGGCAGTCGGCTGAAGTCTTTGCGGTGTGTTCCAGTGGGACACATGGCCAAAACGTAGAGACGCGAGGCAACGCAACAGTCGGGGTCAGTCTGTGTCAGTTCTTTGGTGTGTCCGGGCTTTTACACCAGTGGTTCTCAAACGTTTTCAGTCAGGCCCCCCTAGGGTAATTGGAAACATTTTCAAGCCCCCCCTAACCCGGTTCCTACCTAGATTGGTAGGATTAATAGTATATAGGATTAATTGCATATAGTTGTACAAACACTACATTTTCTCTGCCAATAATAACAAGACACAAAGATCCAACTATCATTGTATGTTATTAGGAATTGAACATGAACAAAAGTGCTTGTATTGGAGATTGATCCTGTGCCACTGTAAAATAATTAGGCCTAATTAAAACTAGTAGACCTACTTCCCTGAGTAGTAGTTTATTAAAGGTGGGGTAGGTAATTTTGGAGAAACCAGCTCGAGTGCGCTAGAATTTGAAAATACACAGCCAGAAAAAATCTGTCACTTCCTTACAGAGCCCCTCCTCCAACACACACGAACGAACGCGCACATGACCAATGAGGGCACGAGATAAGTTTGTGCACAGATGGAAACCTGACAGGCAGGTAGTCCATCCAGTTATTTTAGCCGGGCCGGCTAAAATGATTGGTCGTGCTTTTTACAGTACTATGGCTTCCACAGATTAATTTTTTGTATGGATTTTTTGTCAAAGCACTTAAGATATTCATTGCTATCGGCATGTTAAGAGCATTCCATGGAATATAACAAAAAGTGTATCTCGAGCCGGTTTCTCAAACTTACCTACCCTACCTTTAAATACATTTTTTTAATGAAAATATTTGTATCAACATTAAGTACTATTTGTACTGCAGGTTGCAAATAATCACATCACTAGTCCATTCCTATTCCACACATAGCCTACCTACTTTTACTTGAGTAACATTTTGAATGCAGGACTTTTAATTGTATCAGAGTATTCCTACACTCTGGTACTTGTACTTTTACTAGTACAAGATCTGAGTACTTCTTCCACCTGACACGTAATTGGGGCAACAGAGCTACGAGTTAAGGCAGTCGAAAACGTTGCATTTCTCCGACTAATTACGATGTTTAGACAGATTGCTCGTGTTTCCGCGCTTACGCGAAGATGCTATGTCAAACGAGCATTGTCCACATTGAGCCTTGTATAGTGTAACTTTTGAACCCACAGTTGGAAACCGGCTGTGTTAGACTGACAAGAAATGCAGTTGACCTGTCCTCCTGTGATGGTACCCGTCATTTCATACTTATATTTTCTGCTTCACATATCATTGCCCATTGTAATAAACATTGTGTTGTTCTCTGGCAGGGCTTACTGCACTGGTATCTCTTTTTGGAGCTTTCACACCGAATATTTATTCTGTTTTGCCTCATAAGGTTTGGAGTGGGAGTTTTTCCAAGCCAGCAAGGCTTTAGGATGGCAGTGCCAGCTAAGCAGGGTTAGACAAGTTCAATGATTTGTTATTCAATATATTTTATTTTGCAGGAAATATAGGCAATTACTCAAGTAGTTTATAAATTTACTTTTTTAGAACTCTTACATCTATGCACATTCCTTCCATGCCGAGCTGAATTGTCATAGCAGAGCACCCCTTAATGGATTAAAGTCTCCAGAGGTTATGTCTTACAAACTTTGCTTTAGATTATATGAAGTGTTAGTGAATCATTGATATTTAATTTCTAGAACATCTCGACTTGCAGTAACAAGGTAGAGCTGCGGGAGAGTACTGCCTCATGTATTGTCGTGTGTACCTAAAGATGCTGTAATTGTCAAGGTTCTCAACTATAAAAGCATATGTCACCTTCCTGGCCTCTAAATATATACTGCTGAGTCCCACTAAGCTTTCCTGCTGCATTACTCCAGGGTCAAAGTGAAAAGGAATACAGAATCACAAAACATAGTATATAAAAGATGTCCTTACACTCAACAGTGTCCTTCAGAAGGGGGTGTAGGAGGCTTCTTGGGGATCCATGGTGTAGATTGAGCCTAGAAAATACATTGAAAACAACCTGTATGAATGACTGACTGAATAGCAGCTATAGTTGCCAATGTAACAAAAACATGTATAATGTTGTGCTAGCTACATTTAATGAATGATGTGTGAACAATTGGTGTCCCTCAACCAAACTAACTTAGCAAAACAGAGCAAACAAACACTGCTTATGTAAAGTAATAGTTCTACTAGCATCCTGTGCTACATATTATTGCATGGGATTAACAGGTATAAATTATAATAATCTGGCAGTCCCCTCATAACAACCATACCTGTTCTTTGACAATCTCCTCATTGGAAACAAAGTGAGAAACCTGGCTGGTGTAATTACAAATGCTAATCACCTTCTGTCCCCATCAGCAGCCTGAGCCTCTGGCCTGTTGGTGAAAAGCTCCAGGACAGTGAAGCCTCGCCCCAGTGCCTGCTGGGAGCCGTCTGGCCTGGGTGACAATGACACCAGCTCCAGAACCACCACCGTGCTGAGCAGCCGCAGAGACGTATGGAAGTACAGGACCTACAGAACCACATGGGTTGAAAAGTATTGTTATAAAAACAACATGTTCAGAATGTCCATTGGAATATCTAATGTTAATGAACGTGATCTTAACAGTAATATTAATTTAAAACAAGAACAAAAAAGTAAAATTTGGTATCAAATTGTGGTATACGCGGGTCATAGCAGTCCAAGAAAAAGGTCAAAGAAAAGCACCAGGGATCTTTCACCAAACGGGGATGTGTAAGCATGGTAAAAGAACGTACTCTGCTCCTCCAACATGTGACATTTTTCAAAGCTTTTTTAATGTACAGTATATTGCCATACTATTTAATTTCCATTATGGGAATCATGTCAGGGTAATGGCATATAAACAAGTACAGATGGTACACCGTCCCTTGGTACCTACTGGCATGCCATTAAGCATCAACTCATACAGACATTCAAGTTACTGTAGTCGAGGGAATGTAAACATAAAAATATACACGCATATTGGAAACGTTGGTTCCAGAGACACTGAATTATATAAACGGCTCAAAGTAACAGAAAGATATACTAATTATTATAAAAGAAACATGGGCCATTGAAATGGGAATTAATTCATTAATGGAAAATGCTACTACAGTACCACAAACATATTCATTGAATACATGTATGGCCATATAGTATAGTATGTAATTCAACAGCTCCTAAAATAAGCATATTTTTCTTTAATCATCATGAAAAAAGGTGGCCCAAATGAAAATCACATCAGCAGACTGGATAGGGCATCAACTATTGATTGGTAAGAGGGAAAGAAAATACCCTCTCACAAAAAAAGAATGGGCAAAGATGAACAGAATGAATGAGAAACCTGAATAAAAATGGCAATTTATTCTGATAATCAAGCAAAACAATTGTTTGCCTCCACAGCAAAAATGAAACATGGGTCGTATCCCATACTTATAAAGACAAAGAAAAGCTTTCTATTATGCAATTGTTGTGCTGCCTTTGATCCTCCGTTATGCCCGGGATGTTCGTTACAATCTTCATATTGCAGGTCTCCGAAAGGAAGGGGCCAAACATCCAGGGTTGGCAAGCATACCTGAATGGTTGAATGTGTGACTTCACAAATCTCGCATTCAGGAGGCGTGTATGTCCCTCTGGTGATGACACTCCTTAGGATTACATGGGGGGGGGGGGTTGACCTCGCTATTTTTACCACATTTCCGAGGAAGAGTCAAACCTTTTGGGAGGCTGTTTGTAGTCGGTGCCAGGTACGTGCAATTGTTTACAGACTCTGATCTGCCATTCAAATTGAAAATAATAACCCACCTACAGCAGAGCCACAATGATTTGCATGTACAAAGGCCTGAATATGATAAAAAGACCAGGGTTTCCCACACATAGACTATACTTGGGTGGGTCGCCCAGGTATATTGACGGGCACCCAAGTATATTTCGCGACCTATTTAGGTTTTTTTTTTTTTTTTATTCGTCCGCGATCACGACGCCATCTGCGATCGATTAACTTGTGGGAAATGATCCCTCGCTCTACGCCTCCTGTACCCAGTCCCGGACTGGCCATCGGGAGTACCGGGGGGTTTCCCAATGGCCAGGCCTGTTAAGTGGCCTGCCTCACACAGGGTGACTGGCTGTCTACATGATGTGGCCTGCCGACATGGCCACTGTCATACAGATCATAAATCAAAGCCCTTGATTGGTCTCTGTGTGTCATTCAAGCTCGGGATAACCTCAGCTCAGGTGAGGTAAAGGACTCTCTGAGTGTTTAGATAGTTAACTTAGTCTAAGTTCTCAGTGGGTCTCAAACGGTTTGGTCACCATTTATGTAAACACATATTTCCATTTGAGAGGGTAGTGATTAGTAAAAAAAGGCATGAATAAATAAATAAAAAGTTAACTAGGTGAAAAAAGGTAAGATACACTTTTAAAACTTGTTGAAAGCTAAAACTAGTCTTTGCTGCTAACTCAAAGAGGAGAAGGGGGAGAGGAGGGAGACAGGAGAGGCTGGTTCAGGAGCACAGACACTCACAACTATAAATGAACCAAAAATAAATAAATAAACAAGTTTCAGTGTTTTTTTCATATTGGAAATGGTATGTTATTGGTTATGGCCAAGATTTTATGATTATTGAAATGTATACAGTTGTGTTTCATATATGTGTTTCCATAGATCTAGTCTCTTTATTTTTCCCTCAAAATGCACCAGATTGATGCATTTAAAACCAGGGGAGCATGCCCCCGGACCCCCCTAGAGGATTTGAGGTCCACCCCCACTTAAAATCACATTGATAGGTTCCTAAATACATTTACCATTTTTTTAAATAGTAACCCATGTCCATATGTTTATTTGTGGGTAGTAGATTTAAACTATAGGGCTATCTCTATGGGCCCTGCCTGTACCTGTTCGCTCTGCCATCGCGTGAAGGGTCTGCTAACAAGCGACCAACAGAAAGGTTCATGTTAATGTTGTTGCATGTCACCTCAGTCTTTTATCTATGAGCATGGTGGGTTTAAATTACTTGTATTCCAGATGCAAACATTGCTGAATACAAATGGGAAACGTGGGAGGGAAAGAGTATTGTCGAGCCAGGGTTTGATTCAGTTTTTTGTCTGTTTTTGTTTATTCACAGGACTTGCCAGCAAAGGATGTTGAGATTCACAAACTAGCTCATAACTGGTACCTCTGCTAAGATAAAAGTATTCTGCTGGAGCAGACTCAACAAAAACACATTTCTGTGACATCAACACGGGCAGTGAGAGGGTATATAGCAGGGGTCGTGGCCGCATGCCACCATTGGCACGCGGCATCGTAACCAGTGGCACACTAGTAATAAGTGGAATAAGTGTGCAAAATATTTAAATTTTATTTTCGGATCCTGAACAAGACCGCCGCCAGAGCGCGTCTCCCTGTTACTTGTAGAAGGAAGCCATGTACGCAACACAGCGCAGAAGGATAACTTCTAGGCCCCGCTCTCTTTAACTCCAGTCGACTTTCTGCTGCTTTCCTACGTGTTGAAACGATCAAAATGTAGTGCTGCCGGAGCGCACCGGAACTCCGCGCCGGCTGTACACATGCCGCAGTTTTTGCGTGGCTGTGTCCTTAGTTGAAAGCCCAGTGGCGATCTGCTCATCTGTCATACTGATCATACAATAACGCCATCTAAAATAATATGCTACAGTACAGTACAACTACTTCTCCTGTCAGACTGAGAGGCTCAAATAACCTCAGCGCAGGTGAAGTAAAGGTACACCTTTACATGTTCATTATAGTTATCAAAAAATAAGAGAATAAATGAAAAACAGGTATGAAATACTATATGATAGTAAAACAAGAATACAGTTTAAAAGGGGAGTGATTTGTAAAATATCCATAAATAAAAAGAAAATCTGTTTACAGTTCTGTTTCATATGGGTGTTGAGAGATGTATCCATATATCTATTAATTATGGTCTCAAAGTGCACCAGATTGATAGTTTCAACTTCAATATTTAAAGCCTTCCTGTTGTGTGATAAATCACATGTGGATGTTTTCATATGGATGGGAGCATACTTGGTGCTCATGTTTCTGTTTGTTACATTTAATTCACCCGTTTTGACATTTGCTGTTAACACATTGCAAGTGTATTGCTGAAGATTGGTGCTTAATCATCATTGGTGATTAGTGATTTCAACTCAGATGTGAATGTTTTCATAAGGATGGCTGCTTTCTTTGAAATGTTGCTATGCACTTTGATGTAATACAATTACAGACCCATTGGAAATGTTGATGTGACGTCATAATTGCAATTAATGATAATCTTAATGTGGATTTGGCACACTGATTACATTTTTTTTTTTAAATGGAACTTCATATCAAAAAGGTTGCTGACCCCTGGTATACAGGATGAGTAACAATGCCTGATAACTCAATGTAGAGGAACATAAGAAGATAAGTAATTTCATGAAATCCTAACACAGTATCTCAGTTCAACTCTGACATTTTTCTCAATAGAGTGGTATAGAAATTAATCTTCAAACCGGAAAAGTTAGCATTTCAGCTTTTACGGGTAACCTTGTGTCAAAGGGTTTTTTAATATGTTTGTCTATATTTTCCAAAATAATGGCGATGGTTACCACAAGATTACGAGATATTCACGTTGTGTTCTACGGCATAAAATATGTCTCAAACCACTTGAGTATATCTAAAGATTGTACACGGCAGTTGCTAACAAGTTGCTAAATGAGACAACATAACGTCATCACCTTAACACCCAAAAAATGTATTTCTGGTGATTGCTTTTACTCAACTATTATGAAAGTGGTGTTAATATGTAAAGCTTATAGTGATCAAACAAAAAAATCTAATAAGAGTGCATTGACGTACGTTGTGCCTCTTCACCTATACATTTTAGTTCTTACTCTTTCACTTAAATCCTAAAAACTTAGATCTTATATTTAAAGATCTAATCACTGACCCACTCCTACCTCTGACAAATTCAGGTTCCAATGGGGACCTTTTTCTCCCTGTGTGCCTCTCCACCTCTGTTTCCTACTTCTTACTTGCTACTCTTTTCCCTCAACCTATCCTAAGGGAGTGCATGTATGTAGACACGTTAGTTTAGCTGCTATAGGCTTGGACTGTTGAGGGGGGCACCTTACTCCGTCTTTCTGGCTGTTTGTACCTGTGTACTCTCATGTTCCGATTAACCCAGCTTCCCCCAAATCTCTTTTTTGTGTCCATATACGCCGGGATCCTGAGTCGAGGCTAATCATGTTGCTGTGGTCGTGTGTCCTGGATCCTCTATCCTGAGCACTGGATCTGAGTCCTGGACTTCGAGTCGTGGCTGAACCTGTCTCTGCGGTCCTGCCAGACTCTCACCATACTACTTCACTGATGGCTCCCACAAGATTGCTGACATCCTCGTGGATTCATCTTCTTATTATAGACACATGCATTTCCAAACATTTGGACTACCTATCAGTGGCGGTTCTAGAACATTTTACATGGGGGGGCAAAGGGGAGGCAAGAGGTCATGCCA